GGTCCATACGCAGCATGCTCGTGGACCTGTTGGGGGACTGGTCGGTCCAGTGGTAGCGTGCGCTACACCTGAGGGAGGGGAGAGTAACCCAGTCGCGCCCTGCAGCAAGACAAGCCACCGGTGGACGGTTTTAGTGGGCGATCAGCGCTAAGCGAATGACGGAAGAGCGAGATGCCGCACCGGGCTTGACCGTCATTGGGGACAACGAGGGGAGCGTGCTGGCAATTAGAGTGCTGTGGTAGGTCGGTGCGGGCGAACTGGTGGCTCCCAACTCCCGTAGGGTTGTCGAGCCAGGGTGTCTAGAGGAGAGGAGAGGAGAGGAGAAAAGGTGGGAGAGGAGGAGGAGGAAGAACAAGCCGAACCAGGCTGTCCAGGTAGCTTCGAATCCCTACTCTAGAAACTCAATTGCACTGACATGTTTCTGTCTGTGCCAGAGCTACCTGGTAGCTATTGCATAGTATGACCGGCAAGCCCCCTCAATCCCTCATGGATTCACGTTGGCGGTGGATTTGGCGAACCCGGGTAAACCATGGGTATCCATGGCACCAATGACCAAACCGTGATGGCCTGGGATCGACTTAACTCAGAGTAGAGTAGGCCGAGTGGGCGCAGCGCAGCGCCAGGTGGGTTTTGGGATGTGAGTGTGTGATGTGGGCGGTCCAGTCCTTTCCCAGTCGTCGATGGTGGATGGAGATTGATGATGATTTCATCCTCTGTGAATCGCCAGCAGCAGCCAGCACCAGGTTAAAACCCTGGGTACCTAGCAAAGGTAACTACAATAGTCAAGATAGCCAGACAGGCACGGAGAGAGACAAGAGAAATCCGGCTCTGGGTCCGGGGTGGACATGGTGGGACCCCTTGGCTGTTATTAAACCTCTGCAGTCATAATTAAACCCGGGGTGACATTTGCAACATCCCCTTACTTTTTTGGGCCGTCGACGTGCGTGCGGCCACACGCTTCTTGCTGCAGGCGGGCTGCCGTGCCTTTCGTTATTTCTTCGTTAGCTTCTTCTTGTTGTTGTTCTTCTTCTTCTTCGCTCTGGTGTAGGTATCTTGTCTCTGTTCTGTGTCATCTCTCTCTTCCATCGTCGTGCGTGCCTGTGTCTGTGTCTCCCGTTCCCTCGTGCTCGGTGTGTGTGGCTTCCTTGGTCTCGGTGTCTAGGAATTGTCTTGTCTCTCCTCGTCGTCCCCATCCCGTATCCCTTACTTGACGAGAGAACGGCAGCATTCAGGCAGGCAGGCAGTCAATCGATTCCTCGTGTCCTTGGGGTCGTGACGCTTGCTGCTACTGGGTAGACTAGGCCGGCCAGCCCGCGGCGCGTGTGCACAACGTGTATCTCGACGCCAAAAGCTTCCTAGCTGTGGGGTGGCGTTGGCGAGGAAGCTATCTGACAGACCAGGTCAAGACACTAGAACGAGAGGCGGCGCCCGTTGAAAGAGATATATCACATTTCACTAAAGGACCAGTCAATCAATCAGCCATCACCAGTCAATGAGTACTGGCCGTTGTGCACAGAACTCACAAGCGCGACCAGACCAGTAGAGGTAATGTATGTACCTTTTTTTCTTCTTTCTTTCCCACTGTCTGTTCTTAACGGGCTCCGCTCGCACCAACGCCCCCCAGTCTGTTCGGTACCCGGCCCCTGACCTGGCTCTCGCCTGGCCGGGCACGTCCGTTGCCCGAACCGAAAGAGGAGAAGAGGACAGGACGGGATAGGGGTGAGAGGGAAAAAAGAAACAAGAGAAACAGTTGATATCGATACGAAAATCCTCCGAATCTATAAACAAAAAGTTTCATTAATATAACTCGACACCATCCCTACCCGCTTTGCGCTCGAGCTCCCGGAGCTTTTTTTTTTGGTCCTCCTCCTACCTACCTCCTTCCCGACCGACCGACCAAGCGACCGACCCTATACCTTACCTTACCTTAGCTGCTATTACCTACCTAGCACCTTTAAAAAACCACCTGCACCTGTGCTTAGATTCTCCAGCTAACCAGACTAAGCTCCATCCAGGCCAATCTATCCTCTTAGCAGCAGCTTCCCCCATCCGTTCGTCTTGGTGGCCCCCCGTTCTTAATACAAGTCAAGACAAGGCAATACAATACAATACTATACAAGACCCTTCCGCCCTCCTCCTCTCCATCCCCCGTACCCGCATGGTTCGCGAGGGTCCTGCTCCGAGGGAGCAATTGATCTTGCGCTGACCCGAATATCGTGCACCCCCGAGCGCGATTTTGTATAAGAATCTTTGCTGGCCACCTCGTCTCGCCTTTCTCGCCCTGTTTTGTGACGAGATCGGCCCTGCTGGGGCGAGGGAGCAAGGATGGCGGAAGCTGCGAGCTCGACTGCCGACACAAACACGCCCAAAGCGCCAAAGGACAAGAGCTGCCCCTACTGCGGTCAGGCCTTCACCTCGTCCTCGCTCGGCAGGCACCTCGACCTATATATTAAGGAAAAGAACCCAAAACCACCGGATGGCATACACGATGTGGACGCGATCCGCAAACTTCGGGGGAACATCACGAGGAGACAGCCTCGAGCCTCCCTGCATAGGGACACCTCAACGCCGACTGGCACGCCTACTGCAGCATCCAGAAAGAGCCCGGTGTCTGACGCAGACTCCAGCCAGGTCAAATCTCCCACCCTACAGCGCGAGAGCCAATCCGCAGCGGAATTGACCAAGGGCCTAGCTCCATTCACTGCAAGATGGGAGGCAACCGGGGTCATTAACGACATCCCGGCCAAGAGCGGCGAGGCAGGCGAGGGGACTCCAGATGTCGCTAGGAGGGCGCTGCCGCAAAGGGCAGTTAGCCGGCAGGTGGTCAAGGCACAGTTTGACATGAAGCAAAAGGTGCAAGACGCCTTAGACACGGCGAGAGCGGCAGAGCTAGCACTACGGGAGATGATTGGCTCGTGGCGAGCTGCAAAGTGCGTGATCATCATTGTCCAAGTCGCGTTTCCAAGCGGCAATATAGTATACTGACCCAGGTGCAGGCAACACATTGACGTGGACTCGCTGCCATTCGATTTTGACCCTCTGGCTCTGGATTTCCCGGCACTTTGCCTCCAGTGCCTAAAACCACCGCCTACATTATTTTCTTCAACTCAGCATCCTACGCCGACATCTTGGTCATTGACGTATCCGGAGCGAAAGCAGTTTGAAGCTCTGAAGACTTACTTTCAGGAGGAATTTCGGACATGGAAGGTGTCATGCGCAGCAGCGACAACAGCAATTGTCGAGGAACTAACCTACCCTCCCTCTGTTTCAATAGCCATGGAGAACACCAAGGACGCCGTGCGTAGAGCTGAAAAGCAGGCAAACGCCCTAGAAAAACAAGTCACAGAGCATATACAGTCCGCATTCAGTGTCTGGGAACAGCTCTCTACCACAAGGCGGCAGGAGTTATGGGTCCTGGAGCTGGCTAGGAGTGTTGGACGAAAACAGAAAGAGGTGGACACGCTGAAGGAATCGCACCACTCTCTCAAACAGGAAAATGCGAATCTGAAGTCGCAGATTGAGCACCTCAATCGGTTACAGCAGCCACGCGAGTTCAAGATCATGTCGCCGACCACGATCCCCATGGGTGAGAACATGGTTAAATTCATGCTGGAGGAGGGTGTTACAAAGGGCCGTCGTGGCGTAGGCATGAATATCGACGATCGCCACTTAGATCTAAGCACGGTCGTGTCGACAGCAATTGATCGGTGGAAGAATGTGATCGTCTCAGCGCGATCGGCAAGCGGCATGAGCGCTCAGAGATCGTTCGACCAGTCCTCGACCTCTGGTCCCGGTGTAACACAAACGCCGGCGCCAGCATCAGCTCAAAACATGTCGACTCCGTCAAATACTGCGGCGGCGCCCACGGTGCAACCGCAGCCGGTCACTCAAGCACAACAACCAGTAACCGCCCCAACACCCCAGCAACAATCCCAAACGCGACATATGTCGATCGCGAGCTCGACCGGCCCGACGGTCACGCCAAGCGAGCCTAAGACGTCAGCAGCGCCGACTCCCTCCGTACCCTCAGTCGACGACGAAATGAGCGACCAGGATGCAGATGCGGAGATGGAAGATGACGATGGGTTTGCGGCTATGAATACGCCTGCGGCCAAACCCCCTCCACCTCCCTTGCAGGTTGAAGTGCCCCAACAACAGACTCCAGAACTGCACGTGCCAAGGGCACGAGGCCCGGCTATGAATAGAGCCCAACAGGCACGTTTCGCGATGAATGGTCGGGCAGCAAGCCATGTCGGACATGGGCGAGGTGGCATAAACATGAGAGGGCAAACGGGAAATATGACTGCGGCTGCTATGCGACACGCCACGCATAGTCACATAACCCAACATCAACAACACCAAAATCTACAAGATATGAGCATGATGCAGGGGGTGAGCGGGAATGACCAGATGTACCTGGACTAAGTCCCGGGATGCCACAACTTGCAGACCTCCCCACTCCGCATACGAGATTGCGACACTCGAGAAAGTCGGATACCCAGAAAGAGAGGGATATACCCATAAGTCACTGTGTCGGCCGGAGAAGGCCAGGACAGACTTGATACTATACATAATGCAGAAGCATTTTCATGACGGTGTTACCTGCAAGGTGCGGATTCTAAAAGTTGTTTCTAACAGGGTACATTTGGCTTTATATACCTGCTGGTATATACATATTTATTGGAACGGTCCTGAAAGCAGGGGCCGGGAGCCGTTTGTACATTTGTACATTTTTGATGACCATCTTATATATATTGTATGACGAAGGCATAGGTCTGCGTGGCCTTTAGGATCTTTTTCATCTGTAGAATACCACGGAACAGTTCATCGACGGGAGAACAGAACGTCGTCTTTGCCACCCATCTCACATCTTCTACGACTTCCTTGATTATCATGTGATGTTCATAAGGAGTGACGATTCAACCGTCTCAGCTGCGACATATGTCTTTGCTTACTATAATTATGCCCCTGAACTAACCCCGTTGCTAGTCTCCAAATGATCAATCCAAAATGATCTCGTAGTTGAACTCTTGATCGGTCTTCAGTTCATACTGCTTCAGAGTCGCCGGGCCACAGGAACCTGTCCCCAATCCCTGATGCGCCCAGTCCAAGCTGATAACGGTATCATCCCGCTTCCGCTTATGCAGCTCGTACGGATGTTTCGACTCATCCAAGTCCTTGGTGGTGTAGTGCATGGCATTGAAACTCGCACCGTCGAGATCGCCATACCGAGCGCGGAGCAACCGCACGAGATCCTTTGATCGGTCCACACCTCTTACAGTCGGCTCAGGGCCGAGAAACTCGACCCACCTGACATCCGTGCGGTTCCCGCCGTCTTGGGGATACTCGTAGTCGACGAACAGGCCGTCGACGCTCTCCTCCCAGTTCCCAACCAGCTGGCTCAGCTTCTTATCGCGGTAGCTCTCGCCAGGCCCGCGGCCGAACCAGCGAACCCTCTCGCAGTCTCTCAGCGCGGCAGTCAGCCCGAAGCGTGCAAACGTGCCGGGGAGCAGCAGGCCCTTAGGCTTGGCGTTGACCGAGATGTGCACCGCGTCGTCGGCGGTGAAGCGGAACGTCGTCTTGGTCTCGACGCACCAGGCCAGCACGGGCGGCGCGATCCGGCCGTGCACGACCACCTCGACGAGGTCGCGCGCGGCGCTCATCTCCCACGACACGGAGACGACGTGCGTGCTGGCCTGGTGCATGCGGCGCGCCCGCCACTCCCCGCCCCGGGCATTGCCGCCGGCGTCGTTGTCCGTCAGCGCGCGGTAGAGGGCGAATGTCAGCGGCTCGGCGAGATGGTTGCAGTATAGGTCGTCGACGGTGTAGCGTCGAGACCATTCGCACAGCTCTCCCCTGGCGAGATCGAATTCCCAATCAGTCGCCGCGCTCGATATGCTGAGAGTTTCAGCACCTTCTGTTACCCTGAGTTGTCTGGTGTGATTGCTCTTGGGTGCGATGCCAAGTAGATGGGAGATGCTGGCTGCAGGCTTGAGCTGTAGTTGTCCAGTGGCGACAATATGGCCGGCTCGTGCCCAGTTGGTCGAGTCACGAAGTCTGAAAGTAATATTCAGGTACGACTCCTTATTTGGAGGACCTTGTTTTAGAGCCTCTTCATCGATGATGATTTGGCCCGTGGTGTGTGGTGCAAGTCCTGGGATTGGATATTAGCAAATTCAAACTTGCTGGGTGGAAGAGCCCAAAACGTACCTTGTGGTATCTCAACAACCCCTATGTCGTTGATCTCACCATCCGTCACAAGGCAGGCATCACAAATGAGGTGGTCAAGAGAGACGATATCGTAACGATTGATGATCGTCACCTCATTTCCATCAATGCTTAGGGTCTGCACGGGTTCTACAGCCTTCTTATATTCTGTCAAACCCGGTGTTGGAGTATGGTTAGAAAAGCAGAGGCCATCCATGACGAAATTGCGGTCGTTCGGGTCGTCGCCAAAGTCACCGCCGTATCCCATGTACTCCTCGCCATCTTCGGATTTGGTTCGCAGGCCCTATGATAATCAGCATTGTTTTGTTGTAAGAAACAAAGCAGATGGACTAACATGATTCGCCCATTCCCAAACAAATCCTCCAATCAGACGAGGATACTTGTAAAAAGCCTCGATATACTCTCTGATCGCGCCCGGACCGTTGCCCATAGCGTGAACATACTCGCAAAGGATGTGAGGTTTCTTCCAGTCTTTCTCTTGTGCAAAGTCGATGATCTCTTGCTGCGGACTGTACATCCTACTGTATATGTCCGCGGTCTGAGCGAACCAATCGCCTTCATAATGCACCAGTCGTGTGCTGTCAACGCTCTTGATGTAGTCGTACATGGCTTGATGGTTCTTTCCATAGAAGGACTCGTTTCCAAGAGACCATAGTATGATTGAGGCATGGTTCTTGTCACGCATTACCATCTGCCTGGCTCTGTCGACATAAGCTTCTTTCCAGTCGGGATTGTCTGACGCAAACTTGGCTGCGTCTCCACCAATCACCCCCAGGCCATGGCACTCCAGATCGGCCTCGTCGAGGATCCAGAGACCTAGTTCGTCAGCAAGATCATACAATCTCGGGTCGTTGATATAGTGCGAAGTGCGAATGGCGTTAATGTTGTAATGCTTCATCAACAATAGGTCGTGTTTCAGCCATCCATACGGGACTGCTCGTCCGGAGTCTGGATGGTGCTCATGCCGATTGGTACCTCTGATCTTGATAGGTTTCCCGTTCACGCAGAAAACGCCCTTTATCAAGTCGGTCTGGCGGAATCCGACGCGCTGGACAACATGACAGTCGTTAACGGCGAGTGCAAGAAAGTACAGATAAGGTGTTTCTGCCGTCCACTTGTGGGGGTTCTTCACGGAGACGTTGAAGGAGGGACTTGAGGTGTCACTGATAGAATTGGTTGCAACTTCTTCTAGATCTGCGTCAAAGAGCTTCAAACTAATTGTAGCCTTGGAGTTGAGTTTGACTTCAACTGAGAGCTTTGCATCTTTGAACTCGTCATCTAAGTCGGTTTGAACGTGGATGTCTTCCACGTGCGCTGTCTTTGGGAAGTAGTGGAGGTATACATCCCGGAAGATGCCGCTTAGCCACCATTGATCCTGTCCGATATCAGTCATTCCTCTGTGAGCTTGGAACTTGGAGTAAATTATACTTGATCCTCGATGTAGCTTCCATCACACCGCTGGTACACCTCGACGGCCAATATGTTCTTTTTATCAGGCTGAATGACATCTGTAATGTCGAATTCGCTAGGATTACGCGAGCCTTGAGAATAACCCAGTTTGAATCCGTTCACCCAAACGGTGAAAGCGGCATCAACACCCTCAAAACGCAAGCGAGTTTGGTAATCCTCAGCCTGCCTCTTGACGTGGAACATGGTGACATATCGACCGCATTCGTTATCATCAAAGGGAATGTTCGGTGGATCAACAGGCCATGGAAAATCCACATTTGTATATTGAGGCCCTTTCCCAAACCCTTGGCATTGCCACATCCCAGGAACTTTGATGTCAGCCCAATCTGAAGTGTCATAATCCGGGGAGTGGAAGTCAATTGGACCTTCAAAAGGCGACGATGACAGGTCAAATTTCCATGTCCCCGACAACAGCTGGCTCTTGGATTCAGAGAGGTCATGGCTCGCTGCAGCCTTGAGCGCTGCTTTTTCAGAATCATATAAGAAGAAGTAGCTGCGTGGTGGTAATGTATTTCGGTGCAAACAATTGAGGTTACTCCAGTCCGGCTGGGCCGCAGGGTAGACACGAGCCTTCTTAGCTATCTTAGAAGGCTTCTTCGCTTTGGCTCGTTCAGGCTCATCGAATTCTCCACCATTTACACGCAACTGCAGATTCAAGGTGCTTTGTTTGCCGATAGACATATTAGAGGTGGCCATGATGGCTACTCTGATGGCGAGGGGGCGGTCAACTGTCAAGCAGGGCAGGACGGAACCTGAAGAGAGCAATAAACGAAAGAACAAGATGCCAGGTCACAGACTAGCTAAAGACAAAGCACTAATGTGGTATCAATTCTCAAAGCCCAGCTTGAAGATGTTTTTGGAGGTAGGTTTTCGTCTTCATGAGGTCGCTGATCTGTCGTCGTTGGAGTTTCGCACGGACAGCTGACAACAGAGCTTCCCCGCAAGTCGTCCTCTCCAATTGAACCCCGCACCTGTGCACATGCTACACGAAGAGGTGGGTTGTTCTCGGGGCTGATCATGCTCGAATACGAGTTGCGTGTGCCTGGCCCAAAGACAATCGTCTGCTTCGAAATGCCTCAGGTTGCAATGACTTTTACGTACGTACTAGACGTTTCTTGCGTCAAAAGCTACTATATAAGACAGGTTGAAACATTACCTCTACAAACTTGTGTGAGATTGTTGACTTTAGATGCTAGTGGATACAACGCAAAGCATGTTTACTTGTCTCTACTCGAGACAAATCCGTTGAAGATATAATAGGAGGACCATTATGGATGGGCTAGTAGCTTGATGTAGACAGTATGTCTCAGGATTTCCGGGCTCGAGAACGAGCCGCCTATAAAGTAGTCGTGCAGGATAGCACTTACAATCTTTTTGCAGATACATAAATACCTAAAAGTATCTGTACCTTATCATTTGAAGCTAAGAGATCACGATATATAATCCAAGATTCTTCCCGGTTAATAGAACACAGACTGAACTATAATAGATGTCTACTCTTGGTCCCAAAGCCGACGGATAATAAGAACTCTCTTGATCCAGTCTATCCTGTTGAACCATTCTCTGATCGGAAGCGGTACCGAATTAGCGCCAGCCTGGGGCAATCTGGGGCGCATCACCGAGCCGCGATCCGCACAGCGGATGCCATTGACATGCTACCAGGGTCATCATAAGATGAGCGAGAATCACTTAGTGCCATCTTTTTTGTAAATTGATTTCCGGGAAGCCGGTAATTTCATTGAATGCTTGGCCTTCACGGGAACTCCCAGCTTTACTACGCTAAATGACGATTGTGGCAAGCCGCTGGCCCAGCCTAGGAGAAAGATAGATACAATATAACACTGCTGGGCAAACCTTACAACACTTCAATCTACCGTAACAAGTGCCAGATCGAAACCCAGAATATCCCAACTCTGGTTTTCGTGTCGCTTATTGAGTCGTTCCTGCATTCTGGACGTGGGATGGGCCTCTGGTGTGTCTCGACCTGCAATTAATATAGATTATACATGAATTGCTTCTAGGCTGGCAGGGCATAGTTTAGGGGTCATCTAATACCCCACAGTGGGCTCACCACCTCACCCTTAGACCACTTTACTCCTGCTCAAAACAACCCTCGTAACATGCTTACCACATCCTCAGGTCAGAAACTTTTCAGAAGAAAAACCTTCTTGAAGGAACCATGTGGACAGAGCTTCCGAAGAAATTCAACCATGTTGCCTCCCGGGCGTGCCATTGAAATGGGACAGCGGGGTGCTAAGATGCGGAGCATCGTCCTCCACGGCATCAGAAAGGGCGTAGTGTAGCCGGGATTGCGGGACTGGCCAAATTGGAGATGTTCCGAACAAAGTGACGCTGTATTCCAGGGTATAGCCACCGATTTGTGGGAAATTGACCAGCTGCTGGCAGTGCCTTCATTTCCGCATGTAACACGGTCTCTGGGCCTCCAGGGCCTCCAGGGCCTCAGGACCCGGGAATGACGAGATCGTGGCTAACGGCACGTCGGGAAGTGCCAGGCCGCTGGTGTTCTAGTCTTTGTGCAGAGATGATTCTATATTAGAATCAATTACATCCAGTCTGCTGGAGCAGATTTGGTTTGAGGCTCTTGCTCATCGGCCGATTTGCCGCAGTCTTGACCTAACGTCCTGCCTCTCGACGATGAAGTACCTAAACTCTGTTCAGCTGCTGTTTGCGGCTGCTGCGCCCATCAGGGCAGCATTCACTTGGCAGAATGTTCATATCGGCGGCGGCGGAGGCTTTGTGCCTGGATTCGTTTTTCACCCAAAGACGAAGGGCGTCGCATATGCTCGTACGGACATCGGTGGTCTTTACAGGCTGAACTCAGATGACTCCTGGACGCCTGTCACGGACACTCTTGCAACAGATGCTAATTGGTTCGTATGCCAAACCGCTGCTTGCTAACATTGCTGATAACATATAAGGCACGACTGGGGTATTGATGCCGTTGCATTGGATCCTCAAGATGCCACCAAAGTATATGCTGCCGTTGGAATGTACACGAACAGTTGGTGAGTGAATCCGAAAATCTGATAGGAAGCCCTGGGCTGATCTTCTAGGGACCCCAATAATGGCGCCATTATTCGCAGTTCTGACAAGGGGGCTACGTGGTCATCCACAAGTCTTTCTTTCAAAGTGGGAGGAAATATGCCAGGTAGAGGAATGGGAGAGCGGCTAGCGGTTGATCCTCAGAACTCCAAGATCATCTACTTCGGAGCACGAAGCGGCAATGGGCTCTGGAAGAGCACGGATGGTGGTGTCACCTTCGCAAAGGTGTCGTCCTTTACTGCTACTGGAACATATGCCCCAGATCCGAGCGACCCCAATGGATACAATAATGACAAGCAAGGCCTTGCTTTTGTCACATTTGATTCCACTTCTGGCCTTACCAATGGTGCCACCTCGCGTATCTTCGTTGGCACTGCCGACAACATCACGGCTTCTGTCTATGTCTCCACTGATGCTGGATCTACTTGGAGTGCGGTTCCCAACCAGCCAAAGACGTACTTCCCGCACAAGTGTAAACTTCAGCCGACCGAAAAGGCACTGTACCTCACATACGCGGATGGCACAGGCCCATATGATGGCACTTTAGGTGCGGTTTATCGATATGACCTGACGAATAGCACTTGGAAGGACATCACCCCTGTCTCAGGCAGTGACTTGTATTTCGGATTTGGTGGTCTTGGTGTCGATATGCTAAAGGCTGGAACTCTTGTTGTTGCGAGCTTGAACTCTTGGTGGCCGGATGCTCAACTCTTCCGATCGACTGACTCAGGAGCCACATGGTCCAAAATTTGGGCATGGACGTCGTATCCTAATCAAGATTGGTACTACGGATTAAACGTGAGTTGGATGGATCAACCATAAAGATTATTGCTAACAAAAGCACAGACCGACAAGGCGCCATGGATCAATGCTGGATTCGTATCTCAAGATACAAAGCGCCTGGGATGGATGATAGAGTCTCTGGAAATTGACCCCCTTGACAGCGACCATTGGCTTTATGGAACGGGCCTGACTGTGTACGGCGGCCATGATCTGACCAAGTGGGACACTGTACACAATGTGTCTATCTCTTCTCTTGCGGACGGTATTGAAGAGTTTTCGGTTCAAAATGTCGCTTCTGCTCCTGGAGGGACAGAACTTTTGGCTGCCGTTGGTGATGATAATGGCTTCACTTTCAAGAGCAAATCAGATCTTGGCACTTCTCCCAAGGCACCCTGGATGACGCCCATGTGGACTACATCGACTGATGTTGGTGAGTTTGGATTCCTCGCGAAGTCAAGAACATAAGCTAACAATATCTGTAGATTATGCCGGCAACAAGGTCGCTAATGTCGTCCGTGTGGGCAACACCGCAGGAAGCCAGCAAGTTGCTACTTCTTCAGACGGTGGCGTCACTTGGAGCATTGACTATGGTGCGAATACCGCTGATTACGGCGGCACAGTCGCTTACTCTGCTGATGCCGATACCGTTCTCTGGTCTTCATCGACATCTGGGGTGTTGCGCTCCCAGTACACTGGCTCATTTGCTGCCGTGAGTGGTTTAGCCTCGGGTGCTGTCATCGCTAGCGACAAGCGCAATAACACCGTCTTCTATGGCGGTTCTTCTGGAAGCTTTTATGTTTCCACGAATACTGGCAGCTCATTCGCGAAAGCTGGTACCCTCACTGGCGCAACCTCTGTCACTGATATTGCTGCGCATCCCACCATTGCTGGTGAGGTCTACGTGAGCACAGACAAGGGCATTTTCAAGTCTACAAACTACGGCACTAGCTTCACGCAGCTCTCAACCCTGACAGCTACCCAGCAGATTGCCCTTGGCCTTGGATCTGGTTCAACTTGGTACTTGTATGCTTTCGGCAGCGGTTCTGCCGGGAACAAGCTCTACGCTAGCGCTGATGGTGGCTCTACATGGACTGATATTCAGGGCACTCAAGGCTTTGGAGCTATCTCTAGCTGCAAGCTCACAGGAAGCGGAAACAATGCTGGCCAGGTGTATGTCGGCACAAACGGCCGAGGTGTCTTCTATGCCCAGGGTACAGTTACCGGGGGAAGCAGTGGCGGCAGCTCCTCAACGACCACGGCCAAGGCGTCTTCAACGACCTCGACGACGGTCAAGACGAGCAGCACTTCTAGCGCTGTCATCACTTCTAGCGCTGTCATCACTTCGAGCACCACTACATCGAAGGCCACGACGCTGAGCACCTCAACCGTGAAGGCGAGCTCAACAACATCTGCGCCACCATCGTCGTGCACCGCGGCCCAGTGGGCGCAGTGCGGAGGCACCGGCTTTACAGGGTGCACGTCTTGCGCTTCAGGGACAACTTGCAAGTACCAGAATGACTACTACTCGCAGTGTCTATGAGATGAAGTTGGGCGGTGTTGAAGGATGGCACTTGCACATATGAATTCTTCTTGAGAGCATGTATATAAAATGTTTCTTTGTAAATATTCAATTACATTGACTGGACGACGATGATCGTTGGAGCATTGATGCTATTGATATGATGTCGGCCTTGAAGCTCGAAGTCATGACAGCTTCTGGGCAGGGGCGTTCTTGGAAGACCATCGATGGATGACTTCAGCTGGAGTGAAATCTTCCCTTACAGGATGAACTCCAAGTGCCCATCCTAGAATTGATGCAATCTCAAGCACAGTATGTGACCAAAACCAATCGATTTTCTTCAATAGCTCCTGCCTCAGTGACCCCTCAGCCACCGCTACGCCGCGTTGTGAGATCATTTCAGCCAAATTAACGAAGACTGGAATGTTGTCAAGATTCCGAAAGATCACGAAGAGATTCAAGGTAACCCAGAAGTCCATAATGAGACCAAATATCACACCTGGAATGGCTGTGGGCTTATTTGACCTCTGCGCCTTCAAGATCACTCCGTTCAAGTTCCAGAAGAAAGCCGCCTTCTCCCCATCTTCAGGGTCTGTTCTCTCTACAACAATCACATCCTCGCCGCCGGGCTCGGCGCGGCACCACTCGTGCCAAACGTTCTTAGCAACTCTGATCTCCTGCGAGCTGCCTCCAGGTCGACTAGCGGTGACGGTCTGAACTGTGTTTCCCAGTCGCACGCGAACGGTGCCTTGAACCACGCGCAGATACTCTACATGCTTTTCATGCCAGTGTAGCCCACTAGACCATGTTGAGCCAGAGGGAAGTGTGATGGTGACCTGGTTCGCTTGAGATAAGTCGTAGACGACGGCGTTTGGTGGATCGCGCCGGATGACTTTAGTGGAAAAGGCGTTAGAGGTCATGACGCTCTGGCACTTGATGCGTATTTTGCGGCCAATGATAGTGACCAAATCCAGTCAATTTCCCAATTAATCCTAGAAGAGGAAAACTTGAACGTGGACGAACTCTTCAAATGCATGTCATCATCAAGAGCTGTAGGAATGGTGGAGTTAGCGGATTTGTCAGCCGCAAACCGGCTTTAGCAAGTGATGAACGAATAGGCTACCTGGGTGACTGCAGCGCACTGACTCATCGAAGCCAATGAGTCTCACACACCTGCTTCAACAGGTATCGAGCCACTATTTGGGGTGTTCTCTTCAAACCATGTCCTAGAATCAAGATCGAGCGTCGTGAAACAAAATAGACATTCAACAGTCTTTCCAATCCTGAGGGGAACAAGAAAGATGATCGAAAGACCATGCTCGCCGAGGAGCGCTTACTCGAGCTTGTTCACTGTTATCCACTTGCCAAATCAGGCGAGGTGATCAACTCTCATTCGCTGGGCATTACGGCTTCCAAGATAGACACTTAAATGCGAGGTTCCATCAATTGGTCTTAACGCGCCTTAGCATGTATATACGTAAGAAGATTTGAGATGAGATATCAAGTCTCGCCGTGTACTTTCACAATTCGAGTTCGAATCGCTGCACAAACATAAACTCCTCGGGACATCCATGTGGAAACGCCGTCTCTCTTGCGCTATTGCCCATTCACAATCAATTCATAGCGTTCCATTTATCCAATATTTCCTGCTGTATCTCCATCAAGGATTCACTATCCTCGATAATGCAATACTCTCTTGCACCTGCTTTCAAAGCCAGGTTTCTCCATTCCCTGGCGCCCATCTGTGGAGGTTTGAAAGCCGGAGGGTCCTTTTTCACCGGCGAACTGCCTGACTCTTCATGGAGGAAACGCCGCTCATCTGGCACTATGACCTTCTGATAGTACTTGCTCTTCAAACCCTCCAAGATTCTCGGGAGATTCATGTGTACGAAGGCGATGCCGTCCACATCCTTCAGAGCATTTCTCTCTTCTTCTGTTAAAGACTTCGGTAGGACTTCGGGCATATGTAGCTGCCGATACTCTTCGACGCCATACTTCAGAAAGAATGGTATGACCAAAGTGCCATGTGCGAGCCAGTGTGCGCTATATTGGGCATGTGACTTCTCGGGGTTGCGATATAAGGGGCCGCCGCCCCAGCTGAGGTCGGAGTCTGTAGCCATGGAGAATATAACGAGGTCGCCGAAGTTGATACCGACCATAGTGGCGTAGGTGTGGGCTGACGTTGGTATATGTATTTTTTCTGCTAGGCTTCTGTAACATGTCCCCATTGGTGCGTCTTTAGCGAGACCCAAGCGAATGCCGACCAGTTTTATAGGGCTGTTTAGACCTCACTCCCCATCACCTGGGAATGTTCTGGCGGAAACACTTTCATGCAGCCAGATGTAGCATGGTCCGAACCCGAGCACTAAAGTCTGACACCTACACTCAGCAGAGCTGGGAGTCATGGCAAGGCGCGGTAGGGCTGGCAATCAGAATTAATAACTAAAATATGACAAATGAACCGCTATCCTCCGATCTATGAGTCTCCCCAACGGAACTCTAATATCGGAGCTTCTTCACGAGGAACGGAAACTTAGAGCGGCATTGTCACTTGTCTTCTGGGTACCGCCGCGCCGGGAAAGCTGGAGCAAACGCGAATCTTACCAAACGCCCGCTTTTCTCACTGTTTCTAAGTTTGCGAAAAGTAGTAAATGTAAGGCTATGTGCTTATTTGACTGACGTCAGGGCTGTTGTCATTCTCGCGGGAAAAGTCATAATTCCTGCAGGTACCGCTTCTGTAAGCCAATGGGCTAACAGCCTTGAAACGCTTCGCCTTTTAAAACACAGGAGACAAAACAATTGGACTGAAACAAAGCCTTTAAGTGACTATGTGAACTGGACCAGAAAAGAAGAGATACAGGGCCGATTCAGATGATTTTGCTGCTTATTCTAGAGAATAGTCATGGGCTTGCCTCATGTCACTCGTAATATGACGATGCCTTCAATGTCACAGGAAGAAATCAAAGCGTTGAAAGTGTCAAAAGAGTGTGATTTGGTATTACTGTATGCTAGAGGTAACAAAACAATACGGTGCAAATGGAAACTGAGAATCTCAATGACTTACCTGTTTGTGACATCGTCACTCGTTGGAGGCTCGATTACATGAGTCCAATCTAAGGGAAAATCAGCAGAAGCGTCAAGTTCATCTCAAGACGATGAATCTTTTGAAGACTCGCTCTTACGTCGATGTTTCTGCGATCGAAGGCAATGGCGCCACTTGGCACCTATTTCCTTGCAACGTAGGCCCCTGCTGAACTTCCATTTCCCCAAGCGCGCCAACACTGGAGAATGAACATCAGCTGGCGTGACCAATTCGTCTAGGACGGTGCGCTCTTTAGATTGTCCGTCTTTCACGATGTCTTTCGCTTTCTTGTCAACCCACTCCTCAAAGGCCGACCTGTCGTCGTGTGGCCACGACAAGACCTCTTCCCAACCCTGTTGGTCGTCCTGCTCGAGGAGTTTGAAGATTCTCCGGAAGTCTTTCTCGTTTCGTCGATGTCCCTGGTTGTGGTCTTTCCGATATTTCTTTGACACCAACCTTTCAATTTCCACTTGTGTCAGTTTGGTTGTCTTTTGTAAGACAACGGCGTATCGTGAGTATTTCCAGCCTACCTTGTTGATGGAATTCAGCGCGTTGAACGTATCTTTATGCATTGATTCCACTCTACAAAGCTGACGAAAGGCGTACTTTACCTTCCACTCATGCAGCGCTTGAGAGCTCCTGCCCTCACTAGCCCTTGATATATTTTCGAACGCTGCAAGGTCAAGACGCCTCTCCTGAAACTGGTTTATTTCACTCAGAATTCGATCAAGTATTTCGAGCTGTACGTCACAGTAAATCATCGATTCGTATCGGTCTCGAGTGTCTTGATCTCTCTGAAGTTGAGTTGAGGGCCGGATGGCACGACTTTCCGATGGTGAGAGTCGCTTTATGCCCGACTCTAAGAGCTCTTGGATCTCTTGATTTGCGTTTTTTGTCGAAAGCCATACCTCTCTGCTGAGTCCCCAGTTGTGTTTGTATTGAAACCGAATCTCCTCAACCGCTGACTTGGCCTGTTCGCATGCGAATTTGTCGGCCACCCTGACTGCTAGCGAGCAGAGCTGATTGCGTCGCAAGTGATAGACAGCATCAGAACACACCATCTTGGCTGCGGGAATGTATATAGTTGATTACACAACAAAAGCGGGCAATGCAATGAGGTGATCTTCAGTGATACAGAAGAGTTGATGAACTTCAGCGAGTGGAAATTCCCCGACCCGAAGCCACTCACGAGGTCTTATACAGTCCTCGCGTGTAGAACTAAATTTCGATCACAAAAGCATTCATTGTTAATCATTGCTATACCTTGTTTGACTTTGCCCTATTGTCTGCTCGGCGACAAAGCCGTAAACAAAGGCAGCATGTTCCCGTAAGAGCAGCACGGAGCATCATCAACAAAGCCAAGCTTTGGAGGCATTTTCTCATTGTTTGCTTCGTGAACAACGAATAGGAATAATGTGCAGTGCAATCTGTCCGCAATTGACATCTTGGGTCACAACAGCCCATCAAGACCTTTCAGGTAGCAAGACTAACAACATTTCTTCCTAAAGATTATTTATGGTACATTACTTTCTATGAGTCAGTTACCTTCGTGTGTGCTGATGAAGGAACTCGCCAACCATCATTTTTTGTTTCGTTGAGAGCGATGGCTCCAAATGCTCCAGAAGATCTTTAATCCAGCCGCCAAAGACGAGATAATTTCTCTGGGAAGATATCGCAGGGCTTAGATGATTTTTTTTACGATTTGTCCAGTACTGATACCGTATCATTGCCTCGATATCTACCTCAGTGAAAGGGGTTAGCTGCCCCAGTAGGACTGCGTATCGGGCATACCTCCAACCCACTCTGACGAGAGGACTTAGATGCTCGATTATTTGCGAAGGAAAATCAGTCATCTTTGTGTGCTGGTGAATTCGATACTTGACCTGGAATATCTCCCACTCTTTCAGCGTCCTTCCTCCCTTCTTCCGTCTCTCTTTGAGTCGTGCATCCATCGTGACCCCAAGGTTCCTCTCTTTGAAGGTGCGCATCTCACCGAGGTATTTTGTGATACCTTCCAATTGCAAGTCGCACCAAAGCAATGCTTCATAACGGCCGACTATCTCTTTATTGGAGGCATGCCATGACGCACCGTAACCTTTGGGGTCGGGAAGAATGCCAGCTTGAAACACGCGTTCCATCATTAAGTCTACTAGCAGCTGCAGCTCCGGATTCTTGCTTTTCAGTTGCTGCCAGTACTCCTGGCAATTCTCCCAGTCTAGCTCAAATCGTAGACGGCCTGCTTCCAGTGTGGATTTGCCCTTTTCGCATCTAGCCTGGTCCTTCAAACGGACATTCAGAAGTGCTAGGTGCCGGCGTCTCAACAGATGCTCGATCTTTGACATTACCATGTTGAAATCCACCAGGTGGACAGGAAGATTGTGCTAGGAAGACGTACCACGAATAGCATACGGACCCTGAATTGTCTTGAAGAATGACGCCTGTCAAATATAACCGCATTGTAAACATGTTCGTTGTTTGCTTTGTTCACTTTTATTCACGTTTTGGGCGAGTTGACAAAGAATTCACCTCAGGCAATAAACAAGCCTCCGCGCACCCATTTTACCAAATTCGATGTTTTCGTGAATCATTAGATCTGTAGACACTATCCTGGCCCGACAAGAACGACTCGTCAGGCGAATCTATTGTATGTGGCTTCCAAATGACCCACCCAGTGTTCATATTCCACCTGAGGAATCGCAATGCGATATCAAAACAGTAGCATACAACAGTGTGACAACGGCTCTTCATCGTTTTACACAGTCCCTGGACGCCTCCTCACCTCAACCATGGCCTGAAGAGGTGGAATAATAGTTTGGCCAATCCACTGTGGTTTTGGTCGCTCTGCCAGTGGTTTGAACTCGTAGTTTTGGCTCAAGTATGCCAGGATCATCTTGAGCTCATGTGCAACGAAAAAGCGTCCTGGGCTGCATAGAATCTATTAGCATGATTTACCATGTTACTATTTGAGGGGTTGCTTACCATGCGTGTCGTCCGTGGCCAAATGCTAGATGGGCATCACTAGTAGTCACCATGCCCAGCTTGGCCATCTTCAGGGCCTCATCAGCATCTCTCCTTTCGGATGCTCTAGTCTCGTATTCTTCCCTTGGTCGAGAATATCTGAAGGCGTCGTAGTTATTCGCATTCTCATACAAATCCTCATCATGCTGAACATTCGCCAGGTCCAAAATGAGGAATGACCCATATGGAGCGTGCCAGCCCTCTGTCGGGTTTGTGAGACCACCCTTTGCTATGACCTTTCTCCTGATCAGGGACGTTGCGAAGTGGCTGAATCGCTGACTCTCACGAATTGCGCTATCGGTTCGATAGAGCCGTCTAAGCCCATTGATCGTCCAATTACCGCCGTCTTCTTGCTGTACTCGGTTTGTCTCTTCTCTTATGCGCCCAAGATAATCCTCTTTTGGATCAGATGCCAGAAGATCAAGTATAATGTTGTGGCCCGTAATCACGGTTGTGTGAATGGCGGCGAACTCCACCGGTAGTAAGCGTTTTGATATCGAGGCAGGGTTCAGTTCGCCGTATCGTCCCTCGGCTGTAGCCAGTCTGATCATCCAGGTCACGAAGTCTTCCGGCGGACTCCAATTTTCATATTCTGGGTCTCCTGCCAGCTTCCGCGCCATGTCGTCCAGCCTCTTCTGGAAAGTCGGCTCCACGACTTTCAGCGACCGGTTCCAAAGCCGCCAATTCGGTATCATGCACAAGCGCCCTATAATCGGCTGGAGAACCTTGGGAAACATGTTGAGGACGAAGCTGTTCATGACGACTGCGTCCGCAAAGCCCACCATGCTCTTCAAGAATGTTTCGTCTCGACATATGGGCTTCCCTACCAACATGCGATTCGTCACTTTTGGAACGATTCCCAGCCAGCACTCCCACAGATTGATCTTCCTCCACTCCGTGTCCTTGCCGAAGGCGTCATCGACCGCATCGTGGACCTCCTCCTGTATGCTCGTGATCATTCCAGGCAGGTTCCGCGCCAAACTCTTGTGTATTACGTGGATACCATACTGGTCCTCGCCATAATCCTTGCCCAGGAAGTTGTACTCGCTGTAAAGGACATCGTCGTGCGCCTCGTGTGTCGACAGTATCTTCTCTGGCTGGTCGAGCATCCACATCGTCTGGGAGCGGGGCACGACAATCTCTTGTGGGCGACTCGGCGCGCAGGGCACCACGAAGGCGCGGTTCTGTTTCGAGTACTGTTCGATTGCGAATAGTCAGTATTGGCTCAATGGGACACCAGGCGCAAAGACTCTATACCTTTTTGTACCCCTCCGTCGCCCAGTCATTGAAGCTGGATATGTATGCCACCCAGTTTCGCAGTGTTGCGACGAGGCCATCGCCGTATCCCACCTTGGGTAGTGACTTCGGATATCTGGGCTTCTGGCTGAAGTCGACGAGGAACGACACGACGAGGAAGATGAAGATCGTGGCCGTGATGCGACCAAAGGTCAAGGACTCGAGCGCTTGCGCGCTAAGGCTGCTCGCCATAGCTGTCGGTCACCGTCTGTCGATGTTGTGGGACGTTGCGCAGCTTCAGGTTGTGCTTCTTGTTGACCTTTGAGAGGAGGCGCAGTCCATCTTTTTCAACAGGGAGACATTGGGAGAAACGGAACGGTGAATAGCGTTTTCATTCTCATTATTCAGGAAGGATGCGGAGGGCCCGGGGCAGGAGAAGGTGGCTCAGACCATGTCCCGGCCGGCAGGTCAAACTCTTGAGTGTAATCAGGGGCTGAATTGTTTCCGTTGTTGGGTTGGTCAAGCCATTGGATTGGATCGAGCCGCATGCGGCCGCCCGTATCAAATGGCGCCGCACTGACTGGATGATACAGCTATGGTGGGGACCTGGATAGAGATGCTCCCGGGCCGCTAGTGATTCCCGACACCCCGCAGTTACATCACCACTCAAACCCCTATACTACCTAAACGTCTCTTCACTGAGCACACTCCTTCACCAATCCATGGATGACGAATGTACCTTAATTAACGCTCAGCGATAACTGGGACGACGGTTGATATCGCCATATGAGAGGACCTCGGGATCTATTCAGATAATTGGTACAGCTTCAGAATTTTAGCTAGTACGTCCCCATCGGAGTTGATAGTCCTAAGGAAGAGCGCTTAAAACACATACACTCTTGACATTTCATGATCAGACGAGAGCACTACAATAACGAGATCGGAAGCTTCAATAGGCGGCTGTAATCAAGCTTGGCATTGTGCTAGATAGGCGAGCCGAGACTGATCAGCATCTTTAAGGAGTCCAGGAACACCTGGAGCCTGTCAGCACCGCCTAACTGCTTCAGCGGAGTCAGCTCCTGGAGAGCAGGGATGCAAATGACATTAACTTCTCACCGCGCCCCCTGTATACACGAACATCATGTCATCTTTAGGGCAGTATCTTTGTATCGTAGCAACATATATCAATTCCTACATGATTTCACCCTGCCGTCAGAGCTCTCAAGTGACGAGTTGATCTGAGCAGATCTGACAAAAGCAAGTTCACAGTCCCCAGTATTCCTTGACCAGCCAGGCACTGTAGCCCGCAAGCCCTCCCACGACTCCAAGAGTGCCAAAGAAGCCAATCGGACGGCCCTTGCCCATTGCGCCCTCGGCGCGGAGGCCAAACTCGGCGTGCAAGACGCGGAAGGCGAACAGCGCGCTCAACAGCCCGGTGAGCGCTTTGCGGTTGGCGCCGTTGAGCTCAGCGAAGGCGGCGAGGATGAGGGCCAGCGGCACATTCTCGCTGAAGTTGGCGTGCGCGCGCGAGGCGACCTTGAGCTCATTCGGCTTGGCGGTGTCCTTGCCGAAGGCGGGAGAGCTGACGCTGCTGTCGTCTCCGACGAAGCACTCGTCGCGAAGACGGCAGCCCACGACACGCACCGAGAGGATGGCGAAGTAGGCGGCGAAAGGAAGAGCGAAGGCGCCCGTGACGGCTGGGTTGCTCAGTTAGTTGCTTCAGTCAATGGAGTCGTCGGGCCAAGGGAACGCACGCAGCATCTTCGGGACAGTGACACCAACGGGGACAGTGATAGCCATCTTGGATTTTGTGGTAGGTTCAATGTGACAAGCGGATTTCCTCGATGAGGGAGTTGAAGGGTCTTCTCCTCAACGAGTTAATATAGGCCCTTCTTTGCGTTTAGCCTTAGTTTCAAACCTTGACATCATGAACATTCCACTAGCTCCAGATAACAGCTACCTACCCTAGAACCGATGATTTCACTTAGGCACGGCTCTTGAAATTGCCGTGTGTACAGTGGGTCTGCGGGGCCTGCACGCCGGACGGCCGGAGATCGAACGGGAGACGGTATCCGGGGCGAGCCGATCCACTACCACTCATTAAGCTAAATAATTATATGTGCGATGAAATCCCACGTCCTGCAAAGAGCAGCGGAGATCATTGCTTGATAGCTTTCACACTCTACATACTTCAGATAAGCCCGAGCTAACGCAAAGTTGAACCATCAACCTAACAGACGATATGATATCACAAGAAACAATGTTAAGCCAGTTCACTCTTGGAGAAAGAGGCTTCTATCCGAAGATAAAGAATGATAAACCTCGTCGACTACCTCACCATTCGTACCTCAAGTGCCTTCCTACATATCTGAAGTAAGGCATATGTGCGACAAACCAGAGTATCCACTGCAGTTTGGGCGACAGGTCCTTGTTGTCCTTGTTATCAGACATCAGTTCTATATCCTTCAGCTTCAGTCCCTCATGCCACGCCTCCAACTCATGCGGATCATCTGTTCCCCATGATAAGACAGCACCGGTGGTACGCGTGATGCTCATCAGGTTTTGGCAGCTAATAATAATCCATGCGACAGCGTCAAATAGCAGCTGGCCTGTTTTGAAGTGCCCGGTCACCCTCTCCACCATACTGCGCATCTCTTCTGGCTTGAGGTAGCAAGAAAGGCCCTCAAACACAACCACTGTAGGGCGATGAGGGGGCAGGCTCGTGAGCCAGTCGTTGTCCGTGACGCTGGCGGCGATCAGCTCGTAGCCGCCAGGCAGCTGAGGCTCTGGGATCAGTTTGCGCCGCATGTCGACCACGTCGGGGACATCCAGGTCGATCCAGTGGACGTTACTCCCACAGTTGTCCTGCAAGCGCAAGGCGCGTGTGTCAAAGCCAGCCGCGAGATGAAGGACCGTGACATCCTGGTCGCCGTGAGCATCCAGGAACTCACTGGTCCAGCGGTCGAATGTCCGCGCACGCAAGCAGAGCGAGGCGCAAGTCCCAGGTCTCATGCGGAGCTTTGTGAAATCATAGTCAAGCTGATCGACGATTTCCACTGCGTGCTTATCGCCTAGAATAAGTTTAGGCAGCTGGAAGTCATACCATCTGGAGTACAGCGTCGCAAGCAGTGTTTCTTGCACGCCGGTGAAGTCAAGCTTCATCTTGGGCTTTTTGACCGGGTCACTCATCGTATAGTCGTCGTTAAACCACACTCAACTTTCAAATTTTGCATGAAAATCAAACGGTTTTGGAAATAAGGTGCAGTATCTTACTTAACCTGGAAAACTTAGGTTTCGAGACCTTTTCGAGTTGCAAACAGGTGCTTAGAAAGGAAATGAGTTTGATCAAATAATCGGCTGGACTTGGCGCCGTCTTACAGAAATGTATGCTGCCACCTCATTCGTCGATTTCATTGCAACCATCCCTTTGTCGTCCTCAAGCTCTCTAATTTCTCAATAGGATATCTATGTCCGCTGGCAAATTACAGCTTTGTCTTTTTCGACGCGGGGACTATAATTCGACGAAAATTCAAAGACACGAGGCTGCAATTTTTTAGGGAAACGATATTCCCACGGCCAGATCTACTAAGGTTACACAAAAAGTTCCTTTGTTGTATTGCAAATAGCACAGTGGATTCTCTATTTGATGACTTAAGCATGCTGGTAGGAAGCTATAGCAGCCTAGGAATGGTATTCCTGAAGACATTTTGCGGGTCATGCTTCTTCTTCAGCGCAATCAGAAAGTCGTAGTTCTCCCCATAGATTTTGCGCAGGTCGGTATCCTCTGTAGTCAGAAGAGCCGCAAACGCCGCATCAATCACATCTTCTGGGGCTTTTTCGAGCAGTTCTCTCTTGAAAGCCTTGCCCCAGGCAATACTCTCTGCCACCTTCGTCTCGTCCGAGTCCGCTATGGCCATAAACAGCTCAAATACAACATGCTCCACCCTCGAACCAAAGACGGAGTGTGGGTTGGGCTGTGCAGATGGCCCGCTGAGCAAGTGTGTGCAGAATCCGTTGCCGAAGGTTGGAAATTTGTCCGTGTACTTCGCGATCATTGCTTTCACTTTGGGTGTGAAACCACGTACTGAGATGGTGTTGTTGTGCCCGTAAGCGCCGTACGGATACGAGTTGTCGTTTGCGCGCATGAAGTCCCTTATTTTGCTGGGTTCCACCGTCCGTAGTATGTTTGTCCCCAGGGTCGCGATCTTGTCAATCCACTGCTGCCCCTTCACCTGATCCTTGTCAGACCACATTACAAGGCTCAACACCACTCGTCCTAGGTCTGGTATTTGTACGATCAAAAGTTGAATTCCGAGTGAGGATGGTATACCCTCTCCAGCTGCTAGACGCTCATAGCCCTTGAACCAATTATCGAGAGTTGCCTGAAAGTCTGAAGTATCATAGACGATCATCCCCGAGAGTACCTATGCACACTGAATTAGTATCAAATGGAGAAAGATAGCAAATCAACCTGAACTGAAATATCCAGGGCTTAGTTCTTACCGAGTCTAGAGGGTACACCTTGATAGTAAGTTCAACAATGACCCCAAATGCCGGTCCCGCACCCCTTATCCCTTTGAGTAACTCATCATCGGCATCGATGAGATCCCCCGCCCAGTTCACTAATTTCGCTGCCAGTATTTGATCTACCCCCAGGCCCCAATGTTTGGCCAGCAGACCATAGCCCGCACACGTCGCCCATCCGACATAGCCTACAGTCGAATTTGCCCCTGTGGGCGTGACGAGTGCTTCGGCAGCCAGCACATCTGCCACATCTCCTAAGGATGCGCCGCCGCTGACTCTAGCGGTCTTCCGATCAGCTGCGACGGCAACATTGTTCATATCACGTAGGTCAATTGTCAGGGCGCCGTTGACCTGAGAGCGACCGGCCGAGTCGTGGCCCCCGTTGCGGACTACAAACGGTACGGAACGTGATGTGCAGAACTTGATGATGGCCGAGATATCATCGGGTGTCTTGGGCCGGACGATAGCAAGTGGCTTGTTCGTAGGGTTGATTATGAGGCAGAGTGCCGTGGAGTCCCAGTCGCCGTCAGACGGAATTATGAGGTTGATGGAGTTATTCGCGGCGAAGTCCTGTACTACCGATAACAGAGACGACAACGTGCCCTCATTGTTGCAAGACATGACTCCGGCTTTGTTTTATGTGGCAATGAAGTAAAGCGAATAGTTCAATATAATGCCGTCAACTAAGAAATATCCTTGGATCTAAGGTTGAGGATCACAATAGATACAATGTTCAACCTTAAGATCAGATGCGTGCTAGAGCTAGCCTGTGTTGCTCGGACTTTCTAAAAAGTACGAGCCATAAGCTTGAAGGATCATCAACATGCTTAGAAGAATGCTTATTATGTCAGCTAAGCATGTTGTATAAGGTGTCTGTCACATCGGGTAGTTGCAGGCGTAATGAGATGAGACAACATATGAAGTGCAGTACAAGTCAAGGTAGTATGAGACCAGAAATTGACAAGAATCATGCGATAAACGGGTAGCGAGTACGTCTCGCTCGGTCTTCGGACTTAGACAACGTATTACCAATACGCTATTACTTCTCTTTCACGGCCTGATTACCTAAGAGACCAGGGCTGAAGGTCGACCGCAACCGCTGTTGAATCAATGCAGCTAAGAACGCAAGTACTAGAGGGCCAATTATCTAGGGCTGAAACCCGCAATCCATGTCGCTTTTTTAGCAAGTTAAACGGGTGATGGAGGATCTAACATATGGATTTAGCGGACCGATGTAATGCGCTGTTGCGCAGGGATGTCAGATCCTTTGGAAAATATGCAAGCTAGCGTTGAGCCATTGCTCTGCATCTTGTTTGTTGACTCAAGCATAAGTGAAGAAATACAACGCGTCTTTACATCGAGGTACTATCGCCTGCCAGCAAAAGTGTTGGTGCCAATGCCCATATAAACGCAATTGCATTTTATGGAGCTAGTGTCTGTTAGAATTGAAGCAAAGCGCGAAGGATTTGACCATTATCTTGCCGCAAGCGCGGGGCTTGTGATTTGAAATCCGACATGTTTGATAGTTAATAGCTTTGTAAGATAGGGTTGAAATCAGAAAGGAGTTTTTCACGCACGCGACTTGCGTATCACACCTATTATACGGTAGAAGAAATATACAATGATTTGTCTAGTCAACGGAGGTCGAGTAGGAGCAGCACTTTATAATTATCATCGTCATTGCCATCGAAAAACCTTCTAAATCTTCACGTACGCATGCAACCTATTTTCGTCCATTCTTCAGGTGATTGCATCAGTCTGTCTACTTATTTTCAAAACTTGATATATCTCAGATTAGGTTTACCGAACTCAGGCATCAAGGCATCATGATGCTCACCATCACCCGTCGACAAACGTGCGTGGCCCCGAAATACTTTTTCGAAAATGTCGTCTAGATCCTGTCGTCAAGTCTAAAGGTGGATGGCCATTTCCTTGGTGTGTTTTTGCAGCGGATCACTAGTGGTTGTCGAAGACCATTATTGGCTGTTTTGAATTTATGTCCATGCGGTGTTTGATATATACGAGATCCATTGCTGCCATAGCTCCCATAGCTTCTCCATTTCTTCAAGTATCTGAATTGCCCTTGAGACATCGAAGTTGTATCTTAAGACCAAAAGAGCTGATCTTCCGAGTAAAAGGTATCACAGATGATACTTTGGTGTCGTTGCAACCCAGCCATATAGTTCGCCATATTCATCTGTTATACTGGTTATATTTAGGTTCCATATAGAGTGATATAGATATGTCTATGACTTCTTCATCACTGGATTTCCATCGTCGGGCCTCTATAATCATCATAGGAGAACACCATCAAATCAAGAAGTTTGCCCTCAAATCCAGTTACTCTACCGAATTCAGATAAGAAATTTTCGTCTTCTTCAGAGCATGAAACCCTTTCTTCAACAAGTCGAGTGACCAAATCGTGGTTGACAAAATACAAACCATCAAGCAGCCTAGAGTGGTTAAAACCCCAATGAGGACAGAGAACGAGCCGCCATATATTCTTCCGATTCTGCCTAGCTTCATTTCTAAAACCCTATTTTGAGTTTCATGGCTTCTATGAACACTCTAGCCTCTAAATCCTTGCGTTCAGCAAGCCGAAGGTGATTGAGCCTATGCACACTTAGCAGCACTCGCTTAGTAATACGCTATTTTAGGTACACAAGAGTAGTTTACAGTAAAACAGGAAGGAAGAAAAATACACTGTTTCGCTGGATTCTGTTCCTCCTAACTCGGCCCTGTCGCCGCCTTTAGCTCTGCTTCTAGATCATGATACCAAATCCATCGGAATCGCTCGTCTAATTGCTCCCTCAACTTGACCGGATCGTCTTCAACACCATCGTATCTAAATTGCCAACATTGACCACTGATTCTCGAATTCTGAATTAATCTCTGCGTTCGCGGACGCCTCACAGCATCGTAGATTTGGAATGCCTGCTCCAAATCTTTAGGATCCTCAACTCGGCCAATTACTTGGCTTAACACATAGGCGTCTTCCATAGCCATGGCCGCTCCGGCGCCGTTGTGGGGGGTTGCCGCGTGCGCTGCGTCTCCGAGAAGGCACATTCGGTTCCGGTAATACCGATGCTCGTGAGGACAGTCGAATAGAGCCCACTGTTGTGGGGTTTCGATTCGAGACATCAGATTTAGTATGGGTAAATCCCAGCCCTTCAGGTCCTCCATCATAATCTCCTTTGGGACTGGCTTTACCCAAGCATCGCCTTCCCAAACGGTTGAACCGCTATTATGAATGGCTACAAAGTTAATGAATGCCCCATTTTCAACAGGGTAGTGCACCATAACAGTTTCGTACGCCAGTATCAGGTGAGATGCAAGAGCTCGCTCTTCCCCGAGCTCCTTGATAGCCTCCTCTTTGGGCACTAGCTGACGATAGACGTAGTCCCCAGTGAAGACCGGAGGGACAGCCTTGCCGACCACAATAGATCGTGTTGGTCCCTTGATACCGTCACACCCGATAACGGCATCGGCCGTTGCCGTTGTGCCATCAACAAAGGAGAGTTCCACTCCACCTCCCTTTTCACCCGGCAGCTCTGTAATATTTGCCAATGTCTTCTTGAACGATGTACTCCCTGCCGGAAGTAGGTTGACCATCTCTTCCAAAAGCCGGGCGCGGTGGATGTACCCACTCTCTGCTTCATCACGCTGATTGTACAGAAGGTCGCCCGCCCTGGAAGCGTCGTCACCATCAACGGGGTTTCGCAAATCCATTCCAAGCCGAATCGTCATCCAGACACCGGGCGGATTTCTCTTAAAGTGCTTGCGAAAGCCCGCAAGGAGAGCTGGATCAATAAGACCCAGCGCTTTGATAGCATTGCTTCCAAAGGTAATTCCGGCTCCAATCTCAGAGAACTCGTGAGCGGACTCATAGACGTGAATTGGCACTCCGGCACGATGAAGGCCAATAGCCAGAGCAAGACCACCAAGACCACCTCCAACAATGGCAATCCTGAACTTTTTCTTCGTTTCGGACATGGCAACAGTATTGTACGATAACTTGGCTAATAACTAATTAGTATTTGCTTTCAACTGAAGCACCACAAAATCGCAGAGATGATATTAGACCCAGTGTCATGCTCGGCGTATAAATGAGTCGCCAAGTTTTAGCAGAAGGGCCATGACACAAATCTCCAGTAGCAGCATTTAATGGCTTGCTGGTGGAACACCCAACATCAATCAATACGCTTATCTACACGCCTGTGGTGCTCGGTCCGCCGTGGCCTCGGATAAGGGGCAGCATCCACTACTAGCTTATCTAGCGCCCGTGCGAATGCGATCATTATATGTATATCGCCATCACATCACATTGAAATTGAATTGCCTGCTGGGTATGAAGGTATGTAAGGAAATTAATAGGCATCACTTGATCGAGATTGCTTTAGACGCCAGGAAAGGCTGACCAGGACGTTTTCGTTGCCACGAGTCAACCAGGTGTTAGACGAGTCTTTAGTGTCGAATCGCACGATGCTTTCCGGCGACCCCTTGGCCTAAGTAAAATCACAATGAAAATGATATCTAATTCATTGTAGCCAAAAATTCATACGGCGCTCTAGCATCGATGTTCATGTTTGTACACCCTCTTTTAGTCCCTATAGGAGTTGAAGATAGTTGCGCACAGCATGATCGCACAATGTCAACAATTATGCCCAAGGCAATGTCATTCGGGAATCGCACCAGCCGGGCCGCGCACTGTCCACTTGTCTACCCGACTTGTGATAGGAGCCAATTACCCAGGGACATCAGCATTAATTCATCTACGTTAGAGACACTGAGTAATAAATGGGTTTTATACTGATAGGAACCTCGAACATTCTGTGTATTACTATAGGTCCATCAACTTCCGTAAAGATAGTAATCCCTTGTTGAGGAGGAATTGCAACCCTCGCCGAACGAACATTTGTAACGCTGGCGGAGGATTATACTTGCCACAAGCGAGGCCTCGAGAATGGAGAGATAGACTCCATTGTTGCACGCTTACGGGCAGTGATATAACCATACATGACTCCAATATTAGATGATAATGCTGGAGACTCATCGATTATTAATTGAGCTAATACATCGTCATCAAATTTCTTATAGGTTCACTGCCAGTGACAGTTTGTGCTTGCTGCACTTGTTGCCCCATTTATCAATACCTTTTCCTTGTGGGATAGGGTCGCTGAGCAGAGAGATTAATCTCCTTGTCGCAAATTCGAGATGTTTTGTTGGACAACCAATCAAACATCTGATATCGGCTCTTCGGCTCTAAAAACAGAGGAAAACAACGATGACTCGTACTGTCACCTCTGCGGTCAACACTCAAACCTACTCATTCGTAATTCCTAGTATAACACCACAGCATTAGCGACATACTATCCATTATTCATTGGTTCGGAACATTGGAGAAATGTGTTATGAACTGGAGAGCCATGAACTCACACGCTGGATATCGAACCCCTGACCCCGCATAACCCCGAACCATGCATGACTCGTGGGGATGATTCTGGGGAGTGAATGGATTAATCTCCTCGCAAGCATGAGCGTCTCTATCGTGTAGACCTTTGAGAGCAAATGATTGGACCCTTTCACATATAGAATGATCATCTCACTTGCTGAGAGGGTCTCGCCAGATATGAAGTCCTTGCTTTACTCCACACACATTCGGATTTCTTACAATATTTTCTGTATCAACTTCCTTGACAGCTTCAGAACCTGCCAACTACAAGGCTTCACGATGAGCGAAAAGATTTTCCCGTCTCTAAACCAGTCAGCTCCGGCCGCGGTTCCTGGCGGACAGTACGAGCATGTCGAGCAAGACGCGAAGCATGGAATAGTAACGATAATTAATCAACATAATGCCGATATGTACCACGAAGCACTGAGACGATATCCTAACGATGAGGCTATAGACAAAGATCAAGAGAGAAAGCTCAAGCGCAAACTTGACATGCCCATTCTGCCAGTGCTAGGCCTTTGTTATTTCTTCTATGTGAGCACCTTGTTGAAGCAGCTCCAATCGCTACCGTACCTAACGTAGAACACCTTAGTACGTCGATAAGACCACACTATCATACGCCGCAATCTTTGGAATAAAGGAAGTTCTCAATCTACACGGCACTTAGTACCCATGGCTGTCAAGTGTCTTCTCCTTCGGGTGGCTTATCTGGTCTATTCCCTCCACTCTCATCATGCAACGTTGCCCTCCGGCATGGTATCTTGCTTTCAATATTTTTCTTTGGGGAGTACTTCTTATGTGTCAGGCTGCCGCTCAGAAGTTTCTTACCCTCACAATGTTACGAGTACTCTCGGGTGCCTTTGAAGTAAACGCTGATCCGGCTTCAAGCTGATCACCTCTATGTTTTATATGCGCGAGGAACAGCCATCTAGAATATCGGCATGGTACGCTTGGAATGGTATCGGTGTAGCAGGAGGCGGTCTCATAGGTTAGTGGAGCTTGTCGAGAGTCGATGAGGTACTTGCTGACAAGCCGAAGGTTACGGAATTGGCCAAATCAATGGCAGTCTAGCCTCTTGGCGGTACGAATTCATCATCGTTGGTGGTCTATGTGCTTTCTGGGCGATTCTTTTAGCAATTTTACTCCCGAATTCGCCAACCACCTTTTGGGGCTTCACACGAGACGAAAGACTGCTCCTGATTGCCCGCATACGTCGCAATCAGACTGGCGTTGAACAACACGGTATCAATTGGGCTCAGGTCAAAGAAGCGTATCTCGACTACAAGACATGGCTATTCACTTTGCTCGGATTTGTTTCAGCGATTCCTAACGGGGGTATTTCGAACTTTTCCACGCTGGTCATCAGAGGGCTTGGGTTCGATACGCTTCATACAGCCCTCTTAGGCATCCCTCAAGGCGTTTTGGTCGTAATTTAGATTGGGCTTGGAGCGGTCGCGAACAAGTATATGCCGCCCAATAGTCGCACACTGGTCTGTGCCATCTTTATGGTTCCAACCATTGCTGGTGCGCTGGGATTCCTGCTTGTGCCGACAGATGCTTATGTCGGAAGACTAATTTGCTTGTGAGAACAATTTCCCTCTTCCTATGCTTGATTTTTATGACTGATTGGCCCAGCTATCTCACCGGCTCCTATCAAGCATCGTTTGTCATTTGTTTATCTTTGATCACCAGTGACACAGTTGGTCAGTCCAAAGAGATGATTGTGAATGGCATGATTTGGTTCGGGTCCTGTATAGGCAGTATTGCCAGTCCTTTCTTCTACCTAACGAGTCAAGCGCCGTCCTATCACCTGGGCATCGGTTCCCTATTGGTGTCAAATATCATTGAGTTTTTGTTGCTTTTTGTTTTCCGATATGCCTTTAGGTGGGAGAATCGGCGTAAGGAGAAGCATCGTGCGGATTTGCGTGAAAGTGGAATCATGACGGACGGCATTGAGGGCTTGAACGCAACGGCTTTCCAGAATCTGACTGACAAGGAAAATCCCAATTTTGTCTATGTCTATTAGGTGCAGATGATGTTTGAAGCAGGAGCCTGCCCAGACATAAGTGTTTATAGAGGAGAATTGATTGGACCCGAGAATAAGTAGGGTTAAAAGGGGCCGAGAGTGGTGACCAGCCGGACTTCAGGCACTAAAGGAAAGCCCGGGAGAGCGGAGGGTGCTCGGACACCGATACGCCGATTGGCACCGAGCCTCAAAGAACAGCCCCGGCCAGCATACATGGATAAGTCAGGATGCTATGGCTTCTTGATACACTATTCTTGCTAGAAATGGAAATTTGTTCTCCTCCTGATGGCGTAATATTTTGTTTTATGTTGTAGGCTGTAAACGCCAGTCGTATGCCTAGATTGATTTAGCCGGCATATCGGCACCCGGTAGCCTCCGTGTTGGCGATATTCGAGACCTATCATCGGAGAATAGTGCCACTAGATCCTCGTTTGCGTCTCGTTAGCCCTACCCATGTTCTTAATCAATAATTCATCAATCTGCTTTGTTCATTCCACATTTCGTCAATTGTGTGGTTTGTGACACATCTTCACAACTGTCGTCACGCCGCTTGAAAGCAGTCATTATTGTGTGTCATGGCACCCCCAAATTCCAATTCAGAAGCTCAGACCCATGAAAGAGCAGCCCTCCAAAGATGGAGTTGTCACACATGTCGCCTCAAAAAGATACGCTGTGACAGGAGGACGCCTTGTGGGAGCTGCTCCCGCTCTCAAGGATCCCTGTGCGTTTTTCCCACACATCGTCAATCTGGACGTACCCGTCCGAAACGTACCAAAAATAGACGAGAGGCGGACAATCGACTAGACGAATTGGAAAGAGTGGTGGATCTACTGAGCGAGGAACTTGCGCATAAGGGAGAAATGAATATGGAAGGGCATTCCCCGGTCCACAGAAACCATAGAAACATCTCACCACCGCTGATCAACAACGAAAGTGAGATCGAATCGACTACCTATCGAACATACGATCGGTCTTTGTTTATACCCAATGACACAGCCAGGAGTCCAGACAGCATTGCACGAAGCAGGCACGCGAGTGAACCACACGCACCTCTGAGTGCTGAAGCGCTTGTGAGCCACGGCGTACCTATATCTGTTCAGTTTCGCCCTCAGTCGTCAGATATAGATATTTTGTGGAAAATATATCAGAGGAACGTTGAGCCAATCGTCAAGATACTCCATGTCCCTACGACAAATGCCCTGATCAATCAAGTGAAATTAACCCCGAGTCAGACAGACCTAGACTTCAACGCTCTTATCTTGGCTATATGCTATGCTGCTATCATTTCAATGAGCAATAGCGAAGTAAGTATCGAACTCGTGCGAAATATTGCCCATCTAACCACTGGATAGGTTCTGGCATGTGTCGGTGGACAGAAGTCACATATACTATGCCAGTATCGGCGTGCACTTGAGGAAGCACTGATTGGATCAAATGGCTTACAAAGACCAAGTCTCGTTGTTGTCCAAGCATTTGTTCTATTCCTCACAACAGCTAGACAACAGGAGACTTCCC